TATATATATATATATATATATATATATATATATATATATATATATATATATATATATATATATATATATATATATATATATATATATATAATTCTGTCTTTATATATATATCATTCTGTCTTTATACGATGGTGTCGAAATTACGAAAATGTGAATTTCAAGAATTTCAATTTCATTTCATTTTTGCATCATTTAGAAACAATTGAAGAAGTGGAACGTGGATTGAGTCTAAATAACCTGCATAGTCAGAGAGAAGTTAGGATCGATCTTTATTGTAACAAATATTTAACCCCCGAGCCAACAGCGTGGATTATATATATATATATATATATATATATATATATATATATATATATATATATATATATATATATATATATATATACTAGAAAATACATGCATACAGAATTTATATATATATACTAGAAAATACATGTCACATATACATATACATATATATACATATCCACATTATATAGCTACACACATAAATTTAGCAGACGCACGTTAAATAATACAAAAAAGTTTCAATGACAATGGTGCCTTACACAAGCCTTCACAAGGTACACAAGCAACTAGTGTTTGAGGAAGTTTCTCGGACCATGCATATTTGTATTATTAGGTCTGTTTATACTAACTTCGTCTTTCTTTGCACAAACCACCTTCTCCTTCGATAACTTTTGTGATTCAGTTTCATCAAATGCTAACGCCGTCAACAAAAGAAACAGCACGGCAAACTTCATGATGGACAACACACTGTTCATACGTACATGCATGTCTAGTTACAATTTGTATTGAATTGTTCAGATAGGAAGACATTTGGAAGCAAACGTTTTCAGTTATCAACTAATTTGGACAGCACCATGCAGTGCAGTGCAGTGCAGCCCAGCGGAAAATTATGTAGCTGTTGACAGCGCACTCTATTGTTCTTGAAAATGGGAAGAAAACGAACATACGCAAACGTTTTCAGTTATCAATTAATTTAGACAGGACCATGCAGTGGAGTTTAGGTTATTGTCGAGTGTCGAGGGTGGGATCCAGGTCGAGTGTCAAGGGTCCATTGTCGAGGGTCGAGGGTAAAAAGTCGAGGGTCATATAGCGGAAAATTATGTAGGTGTTGACAGCACAGTCTGTTGTTCTTGAAGATGGGAAGAAAATGAACATAATCTAATATAATATGACAATAATCTGAAAACACGCTTAATGAGCACATGGCTAGAGTTGTTGAAATTAATTAGTCCTAATTAAGGGGAATTTTTGCATGAATTTCAGGTTCTGCGGTAGTTTACTAGCCTCAAAGGTCGGCAATTTATAGGGTCGAATATCGATCGTGGTTTCAAGTGAAAAATATATCAACACCGAAACTAAAAGGAAATGACTTGCAAAGCTTTGATGCATGGTACATAAAGTGTACAGAAGTTCATCTAGTTACTTCCCGCGATATTGAATATCCTCCACTTTCTGTCCTCTACATCCTTTAGCCAAGCCTAATTTATCTGTACCACTATTTATTAGCTTCATACGATCATTCCCTGCATCATGCCGAATAAGATAATTTGGCAATAGATTCCAAATATTACTATTAGATATATAGAGTTTTAGATATATTTGTATCAAACTTTTAGATAAATAGAGTTCTATATTTGATATATCGGAATTAATGGAGTTTGTGTTGCTTCACTGAAAATCAAACCAATTAGTATAGCACTATATACAAGTGTATGCATTATTACAATATATGATACAGATACAATACTCAACACAGGAATACATGGGGCGGGTATATATACAAAAGAGGTCTTCGTATAAGTATTTTGTATTTCCACATATGACATATCTTGCAAATTATGAACTACTTGGGCCTTTAATAATTCCAGCTTAACTTTTAACATATATAACAGGTCTAAAATACTTTACATTAAACTGTACTCTTAAAACGGCAAGCCATGCAACCTCGTTCCCATGAGGTTCCAAAATCCCGGCAAGATTCCAAATTTCATAGTCCATGTGTTTTACAGCTCACTTGACTTTTTTTCCTATTTCGGCAAAAACAGGATGAACAATTTCTTCCAAGAACCAGTGTGCTGTCAGCGCCTCATTTATGCCGCAGAAGTTCAGAACACGGGGACATTTTGATAATTGACAGCATCACAATAACAGACATAATTTAGAGTCCATATGTTTTACACCTGGCTCACCTGACAAACAAAATTTCTTCCTATTTTATCCAAAAACAGGATGAACAATTTTTCCCTGTGACGTCAAAGAATGAAGACTTGCTGTCAGCACCTAAATTATAACCAGGACAAGTTAGACCGCAGAACATTTTGATGATTACATTAACTTCCCAACTTAACAATTTTAAGACAGAGCGACAAGCTAGAAACATATGCACAGTGTGTTCATCATGAAACTACTCTTGCTGCTTGTTTTGTTCCTCATAACATTTTATAAAGCTGAATCGAAAAAGCACACAGGCGATAACACTATTTGCGTGGAAAGAGGAGATGTAAGTATTCATCACAGAGAATATCAATCTATATAGTTTTTGGATTCTATAATATTTATGTTCCCATCGGGTTCAAATTAACTGACAACTATGATCAAAATTACAGTTCTGTTTAAGCAAACATGTTCCAAACTTTATCCACGCATACCGGCTTAATACCACTTCATTCAAGTACATATAATTCAGTATGCATGCATTATTCAAACTCTTTTAAAAATCAAAGGAGTGAGCCATCTATTCATTTCCTAATCTATGTTAATATTTCCAAAGTGCAGTTGCATACTTTCAGCATAAGGACCTAGCTGTTCGACCTGAATGAAACTAATGTTAACGAGCTGCATATAGCCAAAAGCTGCAGAAGTGGGAGGGGGCGAGTCAGGGGGCTGAGCCCCTATAAAATATTAAATTGGAGGCTAAGCCCCTGAAATGTTTGCAGTTTGCGTAATCATAACCTGGAAAGTTCTTTGCAACTAGTGTGTTTAATTAAATGAGATGCAATGGTTTTAGTAATATGTGCTTGAGTACTAAATAATCATATCATTAGATCATTTATGTGGCTCTTTTAGTTTTCGATACTATATAGGACCAAAACTAAATCACTAGAACTTTTCATGTATATCATATTGCACCCCATATCTTGTCGCCTTCTCCGATTGACAGCTAGCCCCCATGTTGGTATTTCAGTACTACACCACACATATAGCCGAGGTATACATCCATCCCATTCTAGCCTGGTGACACAAAGTGTGCATAATTAATTAGTTTTTCCTTCCCAACTGAAATCTCAACTATATGGAGTAAGATGAAATCTCACGTATAAATATAGCAGTATTATTTATATGTGAATACATAAATTATGATTTATAATTAATATTAGTGGATTTCAGTCCTATAAACATCTCGGACATATAGGTATTTTATAAGCTATACCTAGTAGACAAGTCGACTAGTTTAGTAAAGATCATCAGGCATGTTCAATTCATCATATTGAATTAACAAAACATCAAAAACAAAACTCATATCAAGTATAGACGTATACAACAATGATTTCTTGCAGTGGAGAATAATACAATAACATTTGAATTCTATAGGCACTCGGCGAACAACCGAGACGGACAACCCTTTTCTTCCAATGTCGTAGTTGATTTTCATACTATTTCTGCGCATTCATTTTAACTAGGCTCTAAAGCTGTTGTACGGACACGGGGGTCGACCAGGTCTGCCAGGATCAAAGGTAGAAAGATCAGAACTTGTATTAATACTAAAAATTTATTTTCTTTCTTGGCATCATTATTTTGTAACTTTTAGACAACAGTAATTTTGAAAAACTAATCTATCTATTTTCCTTTGCATGAATGAGATTATATAGTAATATGATATATTTTCAGGGTGATCAAGGTCCGAAGGGGCAAGCTGCAATGCCAGGTAGTAAGGTAGGAAAGTAATTATTTTTAATAAAAAATTGCATGTCATCTGAATCAGATGGCATGATCTGAAACCTTATGGGCTAGCGCTTATACTGTAACTTTTGGTACAACTGGCCTGAAACTTAAAATAGTATTGATTCAATAAGTTTAATATCAATATATTTATTGAACTGAAAATAGTTAAAAGCTATGGTCGACGAAAACATGCATTAGCGATTGTACACCGCGACACGAAATTTAGACTAGCTACACTAGAAAATACATGCATGCAGAATCCCTCGCCTTGAAGTATTGAAAGTATAGTTTTCATGGTGATACTAAGATATCACTTTTAATTACAAAATGATCAATTTCCCAAACATATATATGCTAGGTATGCTATTATACGTAATATAAGCTTCAATTTAATGTAAAATTCAACCACAAACGCTTCGCAAAACGTTTTAAAATGTTCTTAAAGCCAAACTGCCTTTTATCGAATTATCGGTAAACATTGAGTTTGAAATAAACTGCTTATAAAACAAACAATACATCAATATTCAAAACAAACTTAGCTTCATTAACGTCGACGACTTTGCTCCACTCTTTTAGACGTTTTAATTTGTTGTCGTCATTTTTGACCATCAGTGTTCACTACTCACGACAGTCCGCCACATATTTTGAGATCAGTGAGGATGACCACCCACTCAAAACCGTTGGTGAGCCACACCCAGGGCCGTAGCGAGGGGTATTGGGGGTGTGGTTAACCCCCCAATTTTTGTAGAATTAACATATTCGGAAAATCGGGTTGGCCATTCGGAAAATTACGGCAATAATAGTATAACAAAATTTTAGCTATTTAAACAGAGAAAATATTATAAAATGGTATTGACTCAGTATAAACCATTGGTATAAACTGATTTACCAAATCACGGCATTTACATGGATAACGTAAAACAAATCGTAACTCGGTAAATGTTTTTCGGTTTATTACTTCTCAGGGCCGTAGCAGTCGGGGGGAAGTGGGGGGGGGGGGCTGTGGGCAGCAGCCCGTACAATAATTTGCTGATAATCATTCTTTTTTCAAAATCATGCACACCTTTATCATTTAATAAATAATATACCTATAAAATACTGACAATAGACTAGAGGTGTGCATCGGATCGGATTGGACCTTTATAATCCGACAATTGCCTAATGTTTAAAATCCGATCTGAAATTGTCTAATCACGGAATCCGATCCGAGTTTTGAAAAAGAATTCCAATCCGACCCGATCCGATGAAGTCTTTAATAAAATAAATTTCTCATTCAATTTGAAATATTTAACCAAATAAATATAAAAGCAAGAAATACATGTCAAGAAGCTGACAAAGTGACGTCCAATTGAAGTATCAAACGAATAATGCAGCGAAAACCGCGATGATACTTTGATAAATGTATGGATAATTAATTCTTGCGATAATGCATGGATAATTAATTCATTTTATTTCGGATATCGAAGTCCGGATCCGACTACGAAACAACTTTATCAATCCGATCCGAAATTTACATTTTGGTTCCGAAATCCGAAGGAATCCGATCGGATTCGGATTGGATTTGCACACCTCTACAATAGACCTTAATTTCCCCATTTGAGTGAAATTTTGATCTAGACAAGCCTGGACAAAAATTTCACCACAGCTTAAAAGAGCATCACAAAATTAGTAATATTCCGAAGTTTCGTTGAATGTTGTAAAATGCGGATAATATAGCCTTGCGAAGTTTGCCGTTTTTCAGTCATTTTGCATTACAAACGGGAAATTGATAATCAGATGATCAAACTGATTATCAATTTCCCATTTGTAATACAATTGACTGAAAAACGGCAAACTTCGCAAGGCTATATTATCCGCATTTTACAACATTTCGCAACGAAACTTCGGAATATTACTAATTTTGTGATGCTCTTTCAAGCTGTGATGAAATTTTTGTTTAGGCTTGTCTAGATCAAAATTTCACTCATAAGGGGAAAGGTCTATTGATTAATTTTAAGCGGCTACATTATCCATGACAAACCGCAAAGAATCATATTACCTATACTCTTTCCTGCAATATATAGTTAATTAAATCCGCCTTCGCCCATTTAGTTCTACTAAATTGTAAGCAAATTGTAAATTTCGAATGGTTCAGTTGGCAGAACATTGGACTAGTATCCCAAAGGTCGCAGGTTCGACTCCCACCGTGGCCAAGCAAACTTTTCAGCTTGCCCGCTGTGGATGCATACTCAGAGTAACGTCACAAATATCATACTAAAACTCCGTTTTCTGACCATCAGAATTCTGTCAAAACTTCCCCAAAGTCCAGGAAATGGCATTTCAGAGAATCTAAATTTAAAAATTTCCTCCAGCCCCCAATAAAAAAGAGCTTCCTACGGCACTGCATGCTTCTGTAATATGTCTTTGCGTAAACTATGTGCATTTTTGTTTGTAAATTGCATCTTCATTTTCCGGATAGCAAACACCTTCGTAGCTTCGTATGCCATGAAATATTCGGAAATTTTCTTCGTCATTCGGAAATTTTTGGCCTACCC